GCCCGCTAACAATCAGTTAACGGCCAGGGGATGTTTAAAATGCAGGGTTTGAAGGGGAAATATTAAAACTTCCACCAAGCCAAACTGAAGCCCTAAGTATCACAACTGTGCCACTTTTTCAATCGTCATTAACTATTGTCCTACTCCGTTTTAAGGCCCAAGAAGAATTACTTTCAAGGCTGGACTTGCCTCTTTTTTTCGGTTTAGACAAGCGCCAACCCCCTCACCCCCCCTTCCCCCCCTCCCCCCGCAAACTCACTGATATCATGTGCTCCGTTCCACATGTGGCAGACACCTTCGCGCCCGGCTTGGCCTCCTCAGCGACCGACGGACTCACAGAACGTAACCAACAACGTCAAAGAAGAAGTTATGGTCATCACTGGACGAACAAAGGTTTCTCACAAAAATATAAAATTTTACAAGCACCTACAGTATGACTGAGAACTGGCAACTATATCAAATGGAGATTATTTTATTACAATATTCCAAATTCTCTAAAGATGATTACACAGATTTACACAAATCATTAACATCATAATTAATACTAAAACATGATAACATCATAGCCGCCAAAAGCTTTTTCTTTGCTCTGATTAATGCTGAGAGTACAGTTAAATTTTCTTAGATTTCAGTTATTTCCTGGACAGATATATCCCGCAGGACAGGCTAGGAGTCGCTCCATGCAAGGCAATCCAGATTCCAGAATCCGGACAATTTTTCCTCGCGGAATCTGGAATCCCACTACCGGAAAGACTGGAATCCCGTACATGGAATCTGGAATCCACAGCCTGGCATCCAGAATTCAAGACTGTCTTGGATTCCCTTACATGGGGTGACAAGGAAAGATGTTACTATCTTTAAGTTAATAGTGATATTATACTACACACACATAAATGATTACCAACTGAATTACAAGTAAATGTTAAGAGTAAAATCTGTACTGTTCTGTATGTAACATATTCAGTTCACACCAAAAATAAAAACAGTCTCAAACAGCCCAGAAAAAAATAATATTAATGACAGGTTGGTCACAGTCAGTACATTCAAAGGAAAACCAAAAGAAACTTCTGGTAAGTCAGTGTGTGAGCCAGTGCCAAAATCCTTGTTCTGGACCTTCAGCTTTGTACCAGGATTTGAGTAAGTGCCATGATTGGCTTGCTAAAAAAGGCATTATTTGATTGGCCAATCAGGTTGAAGGGAAATTCAAAATGCACTTAGGGCAACTCGCTGAGTCTGTTGAGGGCGCAGATCAAGGATCTCAGCCCTGCTTCACACAAGTCAGTTGATGGAGTAATGTTATGTCTGCAACACAGGCTTCCCTATTAGGCCAAAAAAAAATGTGCGGGATTCAACCAGTGTGAAGAATATACGGTTGACTTGATATCAGGGCTTAAAANTGTGAGCCAGTGCCAAAATCCTTGTTCTGGACCTTCAGCTTTGTACCAGGATTTGAGTAAGTGCCATGATTGGCTTGCTAAAAAAGGCATTATTTGATTGGCCAATCAGGTTGAAGGGAAATTCAAAATGCACTTAGGGCAACTCGCTGAGTCTGTTGAGGGCGCAGATCAAGGATCTCAGCCCTGCTTCACACAAGTCAGTTGATGGAGTAATGTTATGTCTGCAACACAGGCTTCCCTATTAGGCCAAAAAAAAATGTGCGGGATTCAACCAGTGTGAAGAATATACGGTTGACTTGATATCAGGGCTTAAAAACTTCTAAGTCCCAAGATTGACCAACATCAGTTTCCTCCTAACAATGTCATCAACCAAAGTCAATACTAATCAATAGGTAAGGTTGTGAATTAATGAAATAATTACCTACGAGAAAATGTTTGATCTTTAATCATATCATCTCAACAAATTCTTTAAAAAAATGTACGGAGATCAGTCTAGAGAATTTGGAGGTGGACATGGGGGCTTGTGAGCAGGCTAACTTCTGGTTACAGGCTGCAATTCTCTGAACGATCATATCACAATTCTGCTTTACAAAAACTATTTGCTTTTTGCGAGGCATTAGCACAAGATTTCAGTCTCAACAAAAATTACATAACTTCTAACTGTTCCTGGAAAAACAAATAATTTCTAGTATTATTGCTGGGTACTTTTAAGTGTTAACCAAAGACTTTCTTAAAATAATGGGTAATATTGTTCAAAACATAATCATTGACACTTTGAAAACTGCGTTATATCCAGCTCTGAACAAAGAATTTCTTCAGATATCCAAACAACTTGCAGTGGGTGTAAAAAAAATGTTAGCTATGTCACTGATTCAACCCACTTTTGGCTGTCTGAGTATCTTTGGAAACACTGTGTCTCACTTGAAAGTCCAGAGCAACAGAGTAAAGCATATTTGTTAAATTAATTGAAACACTTGCAAATTTGTCTTAAAAAGGAAGAATTCTAACTAAACAACCATATAGTACACAAAACCCTTTTCAGCAACCTAAACTTCAGTACTGATGCTTCTTGTAACTAAAGAGAAATGACAAAGCCACTGAAGACCCTATACATAAGTAGTACCATCAGGAGGTTGAGGAAGCTTTGAGTTTTCTTTACTGGTCATTGATCTGCGTGAAAAAAGAAACACAAACAGACAAGCCTTTTTTTTTCAACAATTAATTACCATTTGAGTAGCTACCAATGGTTTTATCTAATATGAAGACACCTTGATTAATTCCCTCTTCTCAGCATTTGTATAGCTGATGACACATTCCTTCTCATGTTCAGGGCTCAACATAAATTTGGAACTGTTGCTGGTTCAGTTCATGTTGATCTACCAAGAATTTTTAGCACGGTCATGTCTCTCTTCTGCCCGGTCAAAATGTTAAAAATAGCAAGATAATAACTTGAATGTACTAGCCTAAAGAAGAAAAAACAATATAAAATTTGAAAAAAGCTTGTCCACTTGAAAGTATGGTGTGTTTTTTCATCTGGTCACCTGCTTAAGTGTCCAGCTAAAATGACTGGCAAACCAATCTTTTGTCCAGACAAATGGTCATCTTGGGTGAATATTGTCTGTTAACTGGCCATTACATGTATTTTGAGACCTGATGCTTGATTAAATTGAAACAATGCCTTTTTCTACCTTTTCTACTCAACATACAGTTGTAGAGACAGCATTGCTGAAATCTTAATATTATGGATATCTTGATGATATGGACAGCAGCTAAATCACCGACAAAAATGATCATGGACTCATGGTGACAGTCCCAAGGCAATAACTTACCATAAACGGCACCCCCCTCCCCCGCTCCCCCATCCCAATTACCTATAAGCCTCTCCAAGTTATAAGGTCATCTATCAGTAAACAAGTACTGATTATAAACCCCCAGATATAAGCATCCCCTCTAGCTTGTACGTGTATTTAAATAAATTTGATTTATTATGAAATTTTGAATCCCCCTTACAAAGATGTACAAATGTATTGGTCAGGGATAAGAAGCAGGAGTGTATGGGGAATCACAAGCTTACCTCTTAATCTCTGTAAGAATGGTTTTAATTGAGTATTCCCTTTTCCAGTTAGTTAGAATCTTAAAGACCCTGGAGTCAAGCTAGGAATAAAAAATAAAAACACATTTTTGCTTGGTTCAGAACAAAGTAGGAAGAAATGGAATTATGCAGTTAGAATGCTTTAAAGCAACAGAATATGTTTGTACCAAGAAAAGGTTCCTTTTCAAAGAAGTGTAACTTGTATGTATAATTATTTTATGAAAACAAAAAGGACAATTTTCTCGACAATGCCACAATCACAACATCTTACACATCTCAGATCTCCTGAGGATAGCAAATCACCAACAGCCAATCTACAAGTATTATTATAACTTGCAATGCCACACAGTACATGTAAGTCAATACTAGGGCTAAACATAAAAGGACATTTTGTATAATACTGCATGAAGGGTTATACAGAGAAAATCAAAAAGGTTGCTTAACCCTTGCAATCAAACTGAAGAGCATTTGACGTTGAAACGATTTTAAAATACCCAAACTGCAACCAGGGTGAAAGAGGCAAATTCATAAACTACAATCAAAGTAATTTTATTTTTCACGCATTTGTTCTAACTTTTAAAAGGCCTAAAACACTTACTGACAAAATCACTACACTTTGGCATATGACTGCAGATCACACGTTACCGGGAAAATTTCAATGCAGTTTTAGTTGCCCATTTCTTTACTGTCTTGTCATAGCGACCAAATTGCTTGATGTGCTTGTTGATGCGTTATATGCGCCGGAGCAGCAACTCCAGAGTGCCAGTGCAAAATGATGTTAAGAAAATTCATGTTTGCTTACTAACCTCTCCAGCAGCAGTTACTCCTGACAAGTTAATTTTTGTTACAAATGAAACTTTTGGTGGCTGGTCAGGATACTGTTTACCACACTCTAACTTCAAGGAGTATATTCGTCCTTCATATGGGCACTGTGAATTTAACAAAAAACAAATCATGGAACATAGAAAAGACAGAAATAGTTACTGTGCTTTTCAATAACACATCAACATTCAAATTAACAATAATGTGTTTATCACTGCCATCAGTCTATGATCACAAGCAACAGACCCTGAAACACAAAAACACACAAATTGGATCAGAATCCACCAAATGCAAATCACAAACCATGAACGTTTCAACTTGTTGAAGTACATTGTTGTAAAGTTCTGTTGCTTGAGAGGTCCACTAAGATCATTGACGGAAGTGAAGAGCAAGACCATCAGTTTGCTTTTGAACCTTGGAGTTCTCATGTTATTGAAAAGTGCAGTAAGTTTCACATAAAATAAACTTCCACTAATACAAAAGTACCTAAATAGCAGATTGGCCGATACTACAGTGGTTGCATTGACTAAAATGTGTATAACACTATTGTAAAACAGAGAGATAACATGTTGTGTCAAAGTAGCCCACTACCTGTACAACAAGTTCTTAGGATTTGTTTTGAAATGATATTTACAGGGGTGCAGCAGGCAAGTCTTGTCTGATAGCTCAAGACTAGTGGATTTTGTGATGAATCAATAAACAGCGATCAATAATTAGCACAAACTGCAAACTGAAAACATGACTTTCTTTGCACCCTGAGAGGAGTAATTGGGAGAGGTGGTGGAAAGGGTATCACTTCTCAGACAAATGGAAAATTTGGTTTATGGTCACTTTGTTCAAAGGTCAAATCATTCCAAGCCAGATTGATCCATTTTGTAGTCAGATCATTTTAAAGTTTCAGTGTAAAATATGATACATGTGAAGTGCATTTTTTTGGCTTACTGGCTTAAAAAACGAGGTATACACACAAGTAACGGCCTTGTTTCTGCTCATGGCTTAAAGACACATAAAAAATTTTGACTATATGGTGATCTGACCATGGAACAAAGTGACAGGATGCCTTTTATTTGCATGTTATACTACCAAATGATTAAGCTTTAGTGAAGAACCTGCCCTATAAAAAATGAACAGAAGAGAGATTTACCAGTAAAATTTTACATTAAATTCCAGAGACTCACACTTTGCATTAAAGTCAATGAGTTTTATATGCTGAACAATCATTGCATTATTAGTATAGGTAATCACATGATTTCGAGTGCAGTTTGGAATAAATAAGAATGAGTTCTTTAAAAAATTTAGAAGTGCTTATTTATTCCAAATTGCATGAGAAAAATCATGTGATTACTTATACTAATAATATACAAAAAAAACATAACTACAAGAACAAAATTATATTGACAGCGCGGGCATTTCTAGTTCATTCAACTGACTGGCTGAAACAGACTACTACCTTTGTCAAATTCAAACTTTTTCAAGACCAACGCTTTCAAAATCATTAAGTTAAGAACTTGGAAATGTGCAAGGATTGATTTTATATGGTCACCAGCCTGTTAAAGATAACTCAGTTTACAATGATCAGGAAAAGTAAGTGTTTTTAAATTCATCCTCGATTATGAGAGCTCGGCGTTTACATGAAACTGTACTGCCGAGAACGCTTCGAGCAGCCAAAGATGAAAGACACTCGCTAAGGTTTTTTAATGACTGTTCATCATTGTCTGTTCCTGAGACCCCATCATAGCAGGATTCATGGAGAAAGTTTTGAGATTTAAAAGCCCAAGGTGAAGGAGGCGATTTGTTTTCTTCCGACGCTGCCATTGATGAGTGAGTGGAGCCACAGTTCTTGTGATGTCGGAAACTACTAGTATTAATATAATATTTGCTTTTTCTCAGCACTGGGATTTAGCCTACTGCAAGAGTCACCGTAGCTCTTCTTCATCGGCTTCATTGTAGTCGTTAAGGAAAGTAGCTTGTTTTTTAGTTTCTCTGGCTCATTTTCCTCGATTTTGTTGACTGTATTTTTGTCTTAGCTCCGTATTTTCAACACATTTAGCCAGAAAGACGTATACTTTTTACTGTGTTCGGGTTTTTGGAATATTTTTGTAACTTTCTATTGTTGTTTTACATAGATAATTAAATTCCGTCGTCATCTGCTGAAAACCATGGCCATTTTCTTGAATTTTGTTGTGAAAACAGCTCTAATCTGATTGGTTCTTGGTGGTTTCTTTTGTGGTTTCAGCCAATCAGAAACCATTTGTAATTTGCAATCGTGTTACAGAAAAACTGCACTCCTTTCTCAGCCAATCAGAATTGAGTAATTTTTTCGTGTAAATTATTATACATAAAAAAATAATAAATTTATTACATGCCATTAAGTGGAAACAAACCGTCAGTGTGTCATAGCAAGTTCGATTTTTCTTCAACAAAAGTGAAAGGACTTATTGAATGGAGGGTTCGTAATGTACATCTGTAAACAATTTGTTGACAACCAAACAACTACATTGCTTGGTTGCCTACAAAGATGCAGGAACAATTAAAGAAGAAGTCACATTTTCACTCCAATAACACACAGCATGTGTAACAATTAACTGGAGAAATAAGCATTCCGGGTAGCACAAATCAGCGCTGAACTGATTCCACAGTTCGAAGACTTAAGTTTGAGGGAAATATGCAACAAATCCACAGCAGCTTTGTGAAAAAAAAAATCAAGAAGTGACATTAGACAGGATAGAACATAATGCGTCGTCAATAGTATCAATGTTTGAGTCTTTCAATCCAAGTCTTTACTACTTACTCTAGGAGGACCAATAATCATTCCAGTCCAGTACTTCAAGTCCATGTCATCATCGACTGCTAAGCCCCAGCTAACAGTTCCATCACCGCCTTTCTGTCCTTCCTCCAGTTCCTCAAGCAAGCGAAAATTGCGAGGTACCACAACTGAAAATGTGAGCGAGTTAAAAGGAAAAATTTGAGATTTGGGAAATCTAGCTTATAAAACTACAGAATAGCAATGCAAACGCGAACAGTAGTGCGTCAAGGAGCCAGAATCAACTGTGTAGACAATTTCTAACCTCCGGTGGTGGCCATCTTGGATTTTCACCACCACGCCAAATGGATAAGCGCCAGAAGAGCCGAGCGGAATTTCCGACGGTAGCCGAGTCTTTTTCGGTTGAGGTTCGTGTTCGATTACGACCGCGGCTCAGAGCGGGTTCCAGGGTCTCAGAGCAAAGGCAGGCGAAAGTAGGGACTAAGATAACGCGGACCCTACTATCCCGGTGCCTGGAACAGGCTTGAGAGGCTGACGATATTCCACTCATGCGCTGAATCCCTTGCTTTTGTTGATATTCCCGAAAAATCATGGAATAGGAACGTGGCGGCCTGGCGACCGAGGGAGCCCGGACACGCAATCAGCGATAAGGGGATTACAATGTAAGCGCTGACGCCCTAGCCCTGGGCTTAGACGTGATTAGCACTTGAAATGTTGATTAGGGTTCAAGCAAGAGCCGATCCGACTCCTCTGAAAATAGCTGATCAAGTACTGATTCCAAATGGATAGAGTTTAAAGGGTTGTCACTAGAGTCGTAGCCCGCGATCGTTTCGGCGACTCATGTCACTTTGAATTACTTCAGTTTTTGTTCAAAAAAAATTGAAAGAACTTTAACTTTAATTTGACATTGGTAGGACAGAATATAGTAGAGAATTAGAAATTTCATTTAAGTTTAAGTGTTAGGGAAGGGTAAGTTGCATGAAAGAATCGAATTCTGACAGGAGTCACCAAGCAAATGACAGCAGACTAGGCTCTTTATGGATCACTAGTTTCCCTGAATGCCCAAGGTACCGTTCGAGCTATTCTGCGAAAACTGCTTCTCGTCGTGGGACGTTTTACGAAAATTTTTCAGTCACAGACGGCGACAAGAGGTGGCTGTATTCGCAGGCTATGTGAGAGCAAGCTCTCAGGGGGCTCTCAGGCGGGAGGAAGAGAAGAGAACTATCTATACGCTCAGCCTATACCATAGGCATAAAAAACTGGGTGATAAACTGTTGCTCAAAAAGAGGTATAAAAAGTGCCTAGGAGACCTGAAATGCAGTCAGAACGCAAAGAAAAATAAGAAAAGCCTAAAGGTAAGCTTCAAAGCGATATTCAATGCACATTTTAATAGTGTAGTAAGCAAATAATATTTCTCATACAACATCTTATAATGTTCTTGCTGTATGAATAATTAATTAGTCAAGAAGTAGTGTTGTTCTCGGCATCCTAAAAGGCCCGAAACGTAGTCAACACAAAAATAAACATAATAAAATAATACATGCAAGCTTAAAAGGAAAAATTTAAAGCACGTTTCGCTCAATTATGGCGAAGTCGGATAATTCTCATACAACGCCTTATAATTGTTGCCGTATGAATAATCAATTAGCCAATGGATAATGTTGCTCAGGGCTCTCATAGTGAGCTTGGGCTACCTGTGCCTATAGTACTGTCACGGTCAAAGACCTTGGTGTCACGCTTGACTCACACCTCACCTTTGTTCCTCATGTCAACAACACCTGTCGCGTTCTCTCGCGTTCGTTTTATTCTATCGGCAGATTCAGAAGTTGAGTGACGTCAGATTCAAGTTGACAAATTGCGATAGAAAATGAGGAACTATTTATTTGTTCGTAGAAGTCATTATCAGTAAACGACAAGTAACGGGAATGCTTGTCACGTGTTACTAATAGTCCATTCTCGATATATTAAAATTCATACTTGGCTTTGAGGCTTGGGGGAGCCTCAAGATGATTTCTTTTGTTTTATTCCCCCCAAGCCACGCAGCCAAGTATGAATTTTAATATATCGACTGATCTATTCACGCTTGGGCGTATGCTGTAGAGGTGACTCTAAATCTCTCTGATATTCTTATTGAGCGTTCTCAAAATCTCCTGCAGAATTCCTAAGTGCTTGTGATTCAAAGAAACGAGGGGCTCTGGGAGCGAGAAGTTTAAGGTCCATGACGTATTTCCGTTTACGGTACTTGACCCAATCAAAAAACGAAGAAGAAAACAGAACAAGATAATCTAATTACAAAAAGAAAAGTTTTAAATATGGAGGCGAATGTTCTGGTCATGCAATATCGGGGAAATTCCCACCATTCTGGTTTTAACGTCATGAGATGTATGTAAACGTGGCCTTCTTGGTCGGTTTATTATATTTTTTATTGGATTTATATTCCACCGGTGCCTGGAACAGGCTTGAGAGGCTCACGATATTCCACTCATGCGCTGAATCCCTTGCTTTTTTTTATATTTCCGAAAATATCATGGAATAGGAACGTGGCGGCCTGGCGACCGAGGGAGCCCGGACACGCAATCCGCGATAAGGGGATTGATTAAGATTACAATGTAAGCGCTGACAAACAGTGAATGGGGCCCAGGGCTTAGACACCTGGTGATTAGCACTTGAAATGATGATAACTGCGACTCGTCTGACAATAGCTGATCAATTACTGATTCCAAATGGATAGAGTTTAATACTGCTAGGGTTGTCACTAGAGTCGTAGCCCAGGATCGATTCTTTAAAAGTGCGTTTCGCTCAATTATGGCGAAGTCGGATAATTCTCATACAACGCCTTATAATTGTTGCGGTATGAATGATAAATTAGCCAATGGATAATGTTGCTCAGGGCTCTCATAGTGAGCTTGGGCTACCTGTGCCTATACTCCTGTTGTCAAAAACCTTGGTGTCACGCTTGACTCACACCTCACCTTTGTTCCTCATGTCAACAACACCTGTCACGTTCTCTCGCGTTCGTTTCATTCTATCGGCAGATTCAGAAAATTTCTTTCGCAAGCTGGTACTGAGCGCATTGTCCGTGCGCATTGTCCGTTTCACGTGTTTTTTGTGTATGCATAATAAGTGTATGGGGTTATACGGAAATCTTACCCAGTTTTTAAATGTGAAACAGCTGCGGTGGGGGCACAGAAAGGCTTTTGGCAATCGAGTCTATTACTCTGTGTAATGAAATTGTTCTTTTTAGCGGAACCTGTATTTGATCACGATAGTAAAATTTCCCAAAGTGAAAGTTGTTTTCCAGCAGTGTGCAGTTCGCCAAAGTGAAATCGCCGTGATCGATCGCCAGCCGATTACTTGCCTTAGTTCTGCAAAGCAACAGTTTGTTCAGCTAGTTTTGTACACGTTTGTCGTTTCAAGTATAATTTCATTCGAGACTGATTTGGAGTCAAGCTTATAGAAAAGGGCAAAACTAAGTGGCTGGCGGGCGGGCGGGTATCCCAGTGGTCCACTCGTTGTCAGTCGCCGCTTCGCGGCTCGCTCTCTCTTTCACGAAAAAAATCTAAGACCAGGGTAGCGGGCGGGCGGACTGAGTGAGTGACGTCAGATTCAAGTTGACAATTTCCGATAGAAAATGAGGAACTTTTTATTTGTTCGTAGAAGTCATTATCAGTAAACGACAAGCAGCGGGAATGCTTGGTCACGTGTTACTAATAGTCCATTCTCGATATATTAAAATTCATACTTGGCTTTGAGGCTTGGGGGAGCCTCAAGATGATTTCTTTTGTTTTATTCCCCCAAGCCACGCAGCCAAGTATGAATTTTAATATATCGACTGATCTATTCACGCTTGGGCGTATGCTGTAGAGGTGACTCTAAATCTCTCTGATATTCTTATTGAACGTTCTCAAAATCCCCTGCAGAATTCCTAAGTGCTTGTGATTTAAAGAAACGAGGGGCTCTGGGAACGAGAAGTTTAAGATCTATGACGTATTTCCGTTTCCGGTACTTGACCCAATAAAAACAGAACAAGATAATCTAATTACAGAAAGAAAGTTTTTAATATGGAGGCGAATGTTCTGGTCATGCAATATCGGGGAAATTCCCACCATTCTGGTTTTAACGTCATGAGATGTATGTAAACGTGGCCTTCTTGGTCGGTTTATTATATTTTTTATTGGATTTATATTCCAGGAAGACTCGGGCCGAGAAATCATCATGTCACCATGTCTCCAGCTGAAACGTGTCTCCCGCATCTACCTTTGTCTTGTGAGATCTGGTACGAGACTAACGGGGCCTTAGAACGCACGCTCACTGTTTTATAACATTACTACTACACAGCTTGTACATACAAAAAAACTTGTGTTTTTATTATATATGGAAAAAAAGATTTCAGCCTTTTAGGGATTGGCTAAAAGAAATTATTACGATGGTATATTTCTTAAAGGAAATGGATACAAAATTGCCGTTTACATGCTAAAGTTTAGAGAGCAAAAAAAACTCCAAACGTATACGGTACGGTTCGTTTGTTTAGTACGTTCCCAGCGTCATTTTATTTGTTTCCAGGACAAGCCTTACTGTGGACTAACCGTTTTAATTTCGTCGCCAAGAACTTCCTCTTTTGATCTGTGTTTGTGTCAAGCTTAATTCCACCTGTGAATCTTCTCTAGCCTTGTTGTTGTTATTTGAAAGTCGCTCTTTATTACAGATTCTTTTTAAACTTTCGGTGAAATCTTTCTTAAGAAATGCGTAAATTAACGGATCCATGATGGTGTTAAAAAGTAAGGTGTAAAAAGAGGCGTAAAGCACCGGCGCTGTGATCAGTTGAAGCTGGCCAAATATCTCACAAATATTGATATAAATAAGAGGCATCCAAGACAACAAAAACGTTCCGAAAATCATCGCGAACACCACCACGGCTTTCTCTTCCTTTCCTGCACGTTCACCGGTTCTGTTGCCCCAAGTAGAGCGACGGCGATTGCGGGAAATGAAATGGCGTACGACACGTAGTAATCTCACGTAAATCCAAACCATAGCTAAACACGGCAATAAAACAAATCCGAAAACAGTAACAATCATGTACACTTTGTGATAAGTCGTTGATGGGTCGGCATCCCAGGCAAGCGGTAGTATAGAAATACCACATGGTAGAATCCAAGAGATGGAGATAATCACAG